GAGGCGGGTCTCCATGGGCTCTCTGTCAGGCCCGCCAAATAGCGGGCTACAGGCCTTAGTATTATTCAACACACTTTGCAACTTCCAAGGTACGAAACCTTTCAAATTCCCAAACCAAAACTCCAAGTTACTGCACTTCCAAACTGTAGAGATGGACCGCAAAGATAATCAATCTCCTCAAGGTTTTCAATGACCTCTATACTTCTGGAATGTTTTCGTTTTCATTTTCTGGTTATTAGATGAGTACAATTCAAATTGAAAATGGTGCAGGTGAGACAGCTCGGATTCTGGTTGAATTCCTGGAGGTGGCAATCACTTCAATCGTTTTCCTCAAAGGAATTTACCCTCCAGGTTTGTTCTAAACCCATTTCTCGTTTTGGTTGCTGAGAAAAAAAGTTGTGGCTTTGAGTTATGTTTTTCTTCATTATCTGGGGAACCCAGAAAGCAAAACCCAGTTTTCAAATTGCATATGAGCTTCGCGGGATAATGAGTAATTGTTGTTTTTGCATTTTCAACTGCTTTCACTGATGGTTGGTTTTGGGCAAAGGTGCTTTTGAAAGAAGGAAATATATGAATTTGGTGGTTCATAGCGCTCGTCACCCTGAACTCAGGGATTATATCCATTCTGCTGTCTCGGGACTTCATCCTTTCATCCAAAAGGTTGATCCTTTACTCCTTTATTTCCTTCTACTTTTTTCTTCAAAAATTTCTCATATATCTCATGTGTTCGAAAATTCGGCCTAGGCGGCCGCCTAGGCGCTAGGCGGGTCTGGGCGGCTGGGCGGGTTGGATTTTTGTTTTCTTTTTTGTTTTTGATTTTTCAAAGAAAGATGCAGTCTTTCTTATTCGTTATGTATTTATTCCGGTGATGTACCATTTTCACTAAAACGGACGTACATTTTACAAACTAGGGTCTGGTGGAAAGAGTAGCAGTTATTTTCTTTAACAGTGATAGCATCCCTGTGGAAAGATTTATGTTTAAGCTCACTGTGAATCAGTCTTATGGCTCAAGGGTGGAAGAAGCTGACCTGGAGTTCTCACTAAGGTCGTTTTTTATCAAGCTTCCTTTCTCAGAATCCCTTACACGGGTTCTTCCCCAGGGTAAGTTTTAAGTTTCATAGTTGACAACTGTACATTGATGTTCATTTTTTTTGCTTCAGTGTTGTAGTTTTGTCTTAGAATATTATTTGATATAATTCTTTTTCAATGATGTAGTTGCGTTTGGTTTTCGCTTTAAAATTGCTACTTTCTATCAAATGCTTTGGTTTAATTGGTTGAGTATTGACCATATGCTTGGGTGGTTGTTGAGCTCATGAAATATGGTTTGGATTTTCATGTCTGCTTTCCTTAACTGCAGCTAGGTGTGTAAGCTTTTCCTTTATAACAGATTGCAGGTGGGAGATAACCGCGTACTTTCGATCCCTTCCTCAGGCAAGCACAAGTAAGGATGCAGAGTTGTGGATTCCAACAGACACACAGCAGTGGCAACAGCCTCCATTAATAACCCCTATTAAATCGATGAGTAGCGAACCTCTATCTGTGCAGTTATATTTGGAACATCCAGGTTTATCTGAACCAAAGGCTTAAAGGGAATTAAGCAAATGAGTATCTGCCTTGATTTTACATGACAAATCATGATCACACACTGTCCCATAAACATACTGCTCATGAAGTAAATTCCGCTCGCTTTCTGCATTTTGGTGTATAAACCACAATAATCCAGTGCTTGGTATCGTAAAGTTGTCATCCAATTAGAATGAGATTACAGGCTTCAGAGGTAGAAATTTTGTGGAAGATGAAGGGTAAAGAAATTTTGTGGAGATGATTAACATATGACATTACAATTTACAGTATATTATGAGATAACAAAATTACTTTTCTGATAGCTAAATCTCTTTTCCTTTTTCTTGAAGGGATTATTGTTTGTACTCTCCCAAGTCCAGGGAAACATCAATTCAAAAGGGTTTTTACCACATTTGAGCTACTCAGCATTAGTTTATCAACATTTTAACAATTATCATGCTTTGTGAAAGAAATGAATGTTCCTTTATGTTGGAATATGAGTTCAAAATGAATTTGCACAGCTTGTGTGGGTTTAAGTCGTTCTAGTTGTTGAAATTTCTTCTCCATTTGGACAACAACTAAAACACTATCACATTAGTTGATGCAATGAGTGGATACCTCCAATATTACTCGAAGAAAAAAGTGTAAAGAAGGGGAAATCTAATTTGCCCTTGAATAGAAAAGAACAAACGCCTTTAGTGTTGATTATTGAGCTCTAAATAATATGGTTATATGCCATACGCATGTCTTCTCCTCTCAAAATGTTCATGATTTTCTTATAATTGTATTACTTCATTTGGTTTACCTTCTTCGTTTGGATTTAGATTTTAGCATATTTCGTCTACCAACGATTAGTTTAAACATTTTTACTGGATTGTAAATTTGCAACTTTTTAACAACGATCAGTTAAACTGAACAAGAAATGAGTAATTCGACATCTTAGACGATTTCAAATTAGTTCAAATATCTTGGATTCTTTTTTTCTTTTTTATTATTATTATTTTGATTTAGATAATCAAGAAAATAATGGTTAAAATTTGACTCAGATCACATAATCTGCATGCTCTATCTATCACGTTTACAACTAGAAACGTCGGGTCGTTATGGGGACTGCTGAAGGCATTTACAACTGAACGTCAGCTCGTTATCGGGATCGATGAAGTCATTAACATGGCGAGTCGTTAAACTGCTATGTGGAAACATCAAAACATCAAAATAACAGTCTCTATAGAGAAGCTAAAGAAGAGAGCAAAGGCACGAAAGCTTTTCCCTTATTAGTCCGAATCACTGCAAATTCATAACCCATACACAAGGACCATTTTTCAGACCAAAAAAAAAAAAAAAAAAAAACGAAGGACCATCTAAAAGTTCCCTCACTTACATAGGAATCCTATATTCAACATATCCCTTACCATTTAGTTTCCTCCAGAGTCTCAATTTGAATTGTATTGATTTTCTTAATACCAAATATCGTATAAATTTTGTTATCGCTTCAATGTTTAGAATAGAGTCGAACACTCATGTGGATGCGCTCTTAAAAAGCTGGTTCACAACCAGTGGCGGACCTATTAAGGCGCAATGAGGTGCAGCTGCATCTCCCATCACGAGAAAAGTCATTGTAGGTGCTGTATATTGCACATTTGCTTAGCCTAGAAGATGCAGTCTAGGTGTTCGACGAAAAGCCCATTTCGTGGGCATTAACCTATTTCTATCTAGGGCCTGCATATAAAAAGACAAAAGGCTTTAACAAGGGCTTTTAAATCTAGGGCTTTTAATAACAAGGCTCACTTTTTCTTCTACAACAATTGTAGTTTATTTGTAATGCTATTCTTTTTCTCTGACTTATGAATGATATTGGTATTGTCTAAATTATAAGGATATTTGATTGTCAATTTTTATATATAAAGCTTTTAGCCTTTCAAAATTGCACCTCCCTTAAGAAATTCATGGGTCTGCTAGTGTACACAATAAGAATAATATGTAAAGAAATCAACTTAGGTATATTTAAAAATCACGCACATAAGCCAAAATAAACTTGTATATATGGTCAGAATTAAGAAACTTTTTGACACAAACTATAACCCACTTGATTAGCTGTTAGATGAAACCATTTTGAATGATAGTTATGTTAAAAATGTTCAGTATTTGTCCCATATCGAAAATTTAAGGGACCTTACATGGGTTTATAAAGAGTTAGGCTACTTCGTTTATTGTCAATTAATTTTGGAGTAGAAACTCAAACTTTAGCCTACCCCACTGCCTGTCCTTCATCCAACAAACTATTTTGAGTATTTCTCCACTATCTCTGTCATTAAGCCAACAAACTGTTAACTATTAGCTTTGGATCAATT